TGCGGGTTTGTGGGAATTTATTGATATCATTATCCATCATTAGTATCAAAACTAGTACCACCAATGGTCATATTATTATTATTATTATTATTATTATTATTATTATTATTATTATTATTATTATTATTATTATTTATCCCTTGGGTTCCTAATAAAACATACGGCTTCATTAGCACATCTCCAGTGTACTCTGTTCTCTGCAAACTTTTGAACATGGCTCCATGACAGCCCACAAGCTCTCATTTCTTCCTCACATCATCTCCTCCATGTCACCCTCCCCTCAGACGCCAAACTCGTCGCTTCCCATCTGGGTTCCACTCGATACCCTGGCCTTGCACGTGATGTCCCCAGTCGGCCTTCTCAGTACATGCCCAATACATCTCCACTTCCCTCTGCATATTTGTTCAGCGATAGCTTCTTGGTTGGTTCGTTGCCAGAATGGATTCCTTGTTGCTTATTCTTATTATTCTGGCCATCTGATCTTCAGTAACGAGCGTAGACATCAGTTGTTGATGAATATCTGTAGTTTGTTGGAAGTGGTTTTCGTGACGTGCCAAGTCTCTGAACCATACAGAAGCACTGATTTGACGTTGGTGTTGAAAATCTGGATGTTGTTGAGGCTTTATGCTTAGTGCAGTGAAGCAGATCTCCACACTGGTTTCAGGTTAATGAACGCCTGTCTTGCTGTTTTTCCGATCCTGACTGCTTTGACATCCTTATCTGTGCCACCTGTAGTTGAAACAGTGCTGCCTAGATAAGTGTAGGTGAGAGAGGCTACTTTCTTTAAGTTTCTCCCGTTGATGGTGATTGGAGTTTGTTGTTACTGGTGGTAGTGGCGTTTGTTGGGTATCCTCATCACCTCTGTCTTCTCATCGTTCACTTGAAGTTCCATCTTCCTTCGAAGCCAGGCCTCTTCTGACAACTTGTTAGTTTTCTACTGTAAATCTTCAAGTTTGTGTGACATCAGACATAAGTCATCGGCGAAATCCAAGTCTTCTAGGGTATTTTCCGCAGTCCAGCCAGCGTATCCCTCTCTTCTCGCTCCCCACTGTTTGCTGCACGATCCAGTCGACCACAATCAGGAATATCATGGGGGATAGTAGACAGCCTTGTTTCACTCCTGTCTTCACTCCAAAAGCATCACTGAGCTGTCCATTGTGAATTACTTGACATGTGGCGTCTTCATATAGTTATTGAATGAGGCTGATAAAGGTTTGTGGTATTCCGTAGCGTTGAAGCAACCGCTAAATTACTTGTCGGTAGACGCTGTCAAAGGCCTTCTCAAAGTCGATGAAGTTGAGGTAGAGAGCTGATTGCCATTCTATGCTCTGTTCTATGATGATGCGTAGAGTGGTGTTGCAACTTGGTCCGCACATGATTTGTACTTCCTGAATTCAGGAATAGTCATATTACCAACAATTAAAATGCTCTGATTGAAAACAACTATTCCGAACGTCTCATTATGAAAATTATGAAGTCAGGACCAGCAAAACCAAATGCACTTATGTTTAATGAAATGCTACTCTTCTTGAATCCCTAGTTCAATAGAGACTCGTCGGCAAAAATATTAAAAACTTCTATTATCTCGTTCATTCAGAAAAACGTTTTGTAGCAAAACTTTGACTCACCTTCTCCACGGAACCAAGTATAAGATAATACGAGAAGGATAAACCACCGTTGATGGCCACTTCGATATGAAACTATCAACTGATCTGCTTTTGCGAAACAAGGCTTTTTCGGCCATACTCAGTATTTACTTTCTAAATTCATCGTCGAACATATATCATCTTGCTTTTACAAGGGAGAAAGTAGGTCTTCTCACAGTTGAATTTACGAACATTTGATTGATTTTGCACTCTAGGCTGACTTACAATGGAACTTCAGTGTCGTTTAGAGAATGCGTTAGAATCTCATTGGTGCTACGTGAACAAAAATTCTTCAAACTGCAGAAGCTGTGGCGATATTTTTTAAAGCCTGTATTCTGCATGAAGAAAAAGTCTGTTCAGTCGTTAAACTTACAGTGGACTTGACTTATATGAAGATTTTACCACTAGAAAATGTTTTTTTCTTCTACATTCTACTACCTTACTACTTCTCATTCTTACGACACTTCCTTCTACTTTACCAGCCCAATTTTGATTGTCAAACTGAACTCAAGCAATAAACAAAAAGAGGTTACATCGAAGAGAATCATCTTTCCTACGACTCATTTTCACTGTTATCCATTCGTACATACTGGATGGAGGTCACGCTATATCATGAACTGACAGAAATGAGAAATATGGACCACTGGATTACTACCAAGCGGCTCAATAGTGACATGCTGTCAGTGGAACCTAGAGGTCTTGGGTTCGATCCCTGAGGGGCGGGGTCATATGTGCACAATCCTGAAGAGTCGGACACTAGGGTGAAACTGCTGTAGAGTGCTCATAGGTTTCCAGTGTTTCTCCAAGTGATTCCAGTGAGTGATATATGCCAATCTGAAATCAATAATTAAAATAATAGAATGTTTCAGAAAGGTTCCCGATTAAAAGTTAGACTTCATCCATAGACGTATAAAGGGAATGAAATTTTATAACGCAAGGAATAGTCTCATAAAAATAACTGAATAAGTATAGAGAAAATAAAACATAAACAGAGGGTCGAAGTATCTCTTTAATGCTACGACAAAGAGAGTGATTGTACTCATTTCTGTTGAATGCACAAGTCAGATTTGGAGTTGTGAATTACCGAATCTTTGGCTCTATACAATTTTCTAATTCTCATCCCTTTTGGACGATTTGTTGGACTTCATAGAGAACTTTGAATGAGGTTTCAAGAGGAGCCAGATGTCCAGAGGCGTTCAGCTATGGCGCTGGAGTCACTCTTTTGCTCACCATTCACCAACCAGGTTGGGTAACTTTTGTAACAGCGCTTTACGAACGAGCGTACAGTACAGCCGAAGTATTCAGCTTCATCAATGGGGTCAAATGCGTCAAACTGTCTTGCACACACTGACAATGCAGAGATTGGCAGCATAGAATTTTCTACATAGAGACTTTGGGGAAGCGTCGATTCTCAAAAACCACAGCATTTTCTTGAAACTTGCAGATACACCTGACTTGCATGAAAAATTAAGTCTGACCCTTGGGCATCTTGACGACTACCTGAGACTACTTTATGAACATATAGACTTTTTTTGTTGTTTGAATAGAAAGAAACAGATTTTCCAAGATATTAACAATGCCGTTCGATAAAAGTAATTTGACATAAACAACTCCACACTAAAAATCTCACTTAGCAAAATCATCTATCACAAAAAGTATTTTGTTTTCAATCAGCACTATAAATTCCGCTAAATATCATGATTATTTATCAAAATACCACTCTTTCTCTGCTAGTTTTCTCTTTGAAAAAAATGACCGGAGCGAAAAAGAGACAGTATCAAATATTTGTGTATTGATTATTGAACAGTAAAATCAGTCGGTCTATGGTTTATCATGATGTATCACTAAATGTGGGCGAGAAAATAAATTCTGTCCACAGTATGCAGTGATAAATGTTATTATTACTATGGTAGGACGGTAACAAAAAAGCTTTGAAAGTAATAACGAATAAAACCTGAAACAAAAAAGTTGAAGGGTTTCTTTCTTACTGAATTTAGTGGAAATTTCTTTTGTCCTGGTTAGTGGGATATCATGAATCTATTGCTTGTGTACAGCGTACTCCAGCTACTTGGCAGTGTTCCGTTACCAGATGAAGACGGCAATTTCCCGACAGACTATTTCGGTCGATAGGATATACAGCACAGGAAACTGTGCAATAACAAAAACGTTGGGGAGTAAATACATCCAGATGCAATTACTGCCTCGTAATCTCCAGTTGACTTTTTTACATTGAACAGAATTTGTCGATCTCTCTTAGTATATACGCTTCTTGAATGAATCCCTCAATATTGCCTCTAGTTAAATTCTGATATTATTTACTTGTTGATGTCTAACAGTAGAATCCAGGAGGGATGTTTTGTCCAATTTCGGACTGGTCAACCGGAAGTACGTGTAGCACAGTGAGTGATGGTGTTCCCACTGAGACTAAAACCCACCTATCTTTCCAAACTCTAGGCTACTGAGTCATCGGAGCCACTTCTTGTTTAATTATCATTTGTTGTCCATTGGTTTTTATAAAAAGTTAAGGGTAAATTGGAAGTATGAAAAAAAGCAAATGATGCCCTTTATACAAGAGGTAGTTCTCGTAACTCGATAGCTTATTAGATAACGCTGACCCTTGAAGCGATGGGTACTGGGTTTCAGTCACCATAGGATTACCGTCTGTCACTGGGACGCAGGTAAATTTACCTGGCGAGAGATCTCCAAGTCGGATGAAACTAGTATCTTGAGTCCCACTGACCGCCACTACCAAGAAAATCAGACCTTACGCCTGCAGCCGATTAGCAGCACATACGAACGATCAAGTAATCTCAGTGTAGAAGTGCCTTACTCTGATAGGCGGTTTCAGCTACACTGAAAACAGGACTCATATTATAACATCGATTATTTGATATTGGAAGTATAATGACTTTCAAGTCTCTCCGCTGACACAAAAACAAGGAGTTATTGTGACTCCATTGTTACCGTTAGTCTAACTGACTTGCTATTTCAAGACACTCCAGTTAACTTTAGATGTTTGTGAATGCTTACCAGGAATCATTGAAGACAGATTTATTGTCTATGAATAGATACTCAGCAGTCAAACCTATCTGAAACTCAGAATAAAGGAATATTAGTATTGGAGACGAAATTCAGTCGGAGAGACCATCACTGATGCCTCAACTGGTGAGTTGTGACTACAGCAACCCTGAAGGCAACTGAAACATCTACTCTTACACATTTGTTTAGCACACAAAACACTATAGAGCAGCTAAACCTCTTTCCTCAGTACCGAAAAGGGTAACTATGACGAGCGTATAACTATTTTATTCAAACTGATTATTAAAATGTCTATTATTATTTCACTCTTTTCAGCTATGAACTTAAAGATGGTATTACATGCTCAAATACTAGTGAACGGTGTATTCAACGTATGGATGATCTATTCATTGAATTGGATCAAGATACAAATGTACCACAAATACTGGCTCGTATTGATACCGAAGGTTTACCGACAGGATTTGTACGATTCGACTTGAGTAAACACTATGCATATCAAGCGTATAGTGGCAAACAAATTCCTGTTTCAACAGCATTTCGTGTAAGTCTCTTGTCTAAGTAAGATAAAATCAATGCATTTTCGTTATTGCTAATATGTCACGTGATTCAAAGCAATCCTTAGATCATAGTTTCTAGGTCGTTAACTCATTTTTAAAGAGAAATACAAAAATGTTCTGTAATTAACTGATTCATGCGTTAATCGATCACTTTTAGGACTTGTGTTTTTAATCCATATTTAGGTATGTGTGTCTGTTTGTTTACAGTGAATGATACCAATTGACCACCCATAGTTAGTAAAAGCGATAATCTACAGTGTAAATGATGAATGTGAAATGAAATTTCCCCTCTTAATATTAATCATTGACAGGATTTACCTGACTGACGTTAATCAAAATGGAATCCATCTGGACAGTTAGGTTCGAATCAACTGTTGTGCATTCTGAGCGGGAAAGATATACTTCACTTAACTCACTGAGACAACATTGAGACTATCTGTTGTTGCTTGTCTTATCTCGTCCAACAAGAAGTGTCTATCGTAGATTAGTGGGCTAGTGGGTAACGCTCTGACTTTCGAAGCGGTCGGTTCAGGGTTCGAAACTTATTGGGAGCAATACCGTTCCCTTGGATGGGCGTATATCCAACTGAAGAGCCCGAAATAGGGGGAAACGTCCGTCCTGGATTCGTTGCTAGCTACCATCTCTTGTCAATATCTAGGTGAAATCTCAAGTAATATCACTTCAGTAACGCGTGGCCAATAAACCAATAGAGATCTATAATTTTGGTCTACCGAATAACGAGAAATAATGATCGGTTGCATAATGATGGAGTTGGTTAACACGATCTGTAATTTAAAAGGAATGACGAACGCCGAACTTAGGTACTAGCATTATGGGGATCCGTGACTGCAACATAACTTCACCTCATGCCCTTGAATACCACAGCGTTACAATAAACCGAATAGTCGATTATTAATTTATCTCATAGGGTCTTGGAATACCATGATGCAACTCAGTACAAACAATCTAGTAACTCTGAAAAGGTAATGAACCTTTCCATCCAACCAAATTATCATAATCTTTTCATCTGTTATAGAATAGGCATTCCAAGGGAAGCTTTGACGGTTGCAAAGACTACCGTTCGACCGTTGCTAGCAACTGGTACAGGCATTCATAACTCCTTATCAAGCAATGCTTCTCTGCAACACGTCAACCAGTGGGTATACAATCCTCATCCAAATAGCCCATCCGACAGAGGAACACAGTATTAGTTTGTCAATCTTTATGCTTCACTCATCGTACTGGATTGTTCGATGCTTAGTGAAGCAACCTGGTTTCATTTACGTTATCCAGACATTCAACGCGTCACTGTCACCGCTACAACAACGAACAAAGCCATCGGTATTCATCTATTTGCCGTAATCGTAACTGTGGGTAACTATTATCAAGAGCAGGCTGGAGTGATCTGCAAAGATTGTAGCAACAAAGCTGACTTCACAATAACGACAGTCCAATGGCTACATTGCGGTAGCCGCCGTAGTGTCTAAATTTAGCTAACTCAACCCTATTCAGTGACCAGTGTGTTTACCGTCATTTCGCCTCCATTTTTCGAGCGGACAGACAGAGTTGGCTATCCAGGCATTGTAGATGCCTACCTGATCATTTATATTCCATATAATTGTGTCCCTGAAGTTCCGCCAACCTTAATAGAGTCCCTGACTAGTCTTACAGCACAAACTTACTGCTCACCTTTCACAAGCACTTGTCTTCTACAGTTTTAAGTGTTCAACAATAAGAGTGTTTTCTCGTATTTAAACTATGCGGAAACAGTGCTTTGATAAGAGTGCTTTAATAAGCCTTCAGTCCTGTTTATAGTATCGAACTCTTTGTGTGTATAGAGCTTGCCACGAGCTATGCTTTACATTTAAATCAATGTCCTTTTGTATGACAAGAAAGCAAACAGAACAAAATCAGTAACTGGTCAATAGTATACCATCAAAACTGTTTATTTAGTAGGATGACTGATTATCATCAGATCATAATTCTAGAATTCAACTGTTGTATATTTCTGGTTGCCTGCACACCATATGAAGATATGTATTGGGTGATTAGTCCCCTTACGTCCGGCACGTGAGCGAAAGGCGAACTTGCTTTCAGGATACACTAGTATGAAATTAATACAATAAATAAGGGCGGTTTATGCGGTTACGGACTCTCAGTGACAGAAATGACTTAGAATTATGTTATGTGTAATTACCTGACAAAGATATAGACGTAATTTGCTAGTAGGAGACGTATTAAATTAGAAAGATGTCAAATGAGATGCGGATCTCGAGGTCAGAGTCCAGAGGCGAGATGCAAAGAGTGTTTTAAGAATGCACCAAAAGCTATACAGGGATTCATTAAAAAACTAGCCTTTTAATCTCTTGGTTACCATAGATTATGCCGTGACTTGATAGTGGTTTACAAGATACGAACTAATAGAAGTGATTCGAAGAGAGATAGCATCGATTCAGGCAGTTACTCGATTTGTAGAGAAGTGTAGACTTCCCGACATGAGTCGTCGACAGTCAATAACTCTGATTTTTTTTTACCACCGAAGGTACGTGTAACGTAGACGTAATCAAACAGTGAACCTTTTCGGTAATATTTTTTCGATCGACTTGGTTGTGGCTAGCAGTGGAATCCAGGATGAGCATTTCGTCCTATTCTGGACTCATCAGCTGGATGTACCTATATACCAGACTCTAACCTGGTATCCATTGCTTCGAACCTCAAAGCGTTATCGACTACGCCACTGAGGCACGATAGCTACAACCAAATCAATTATAACAATAGATATTCAGGCAATATCGAGGCATCCCCATGAAAGCCCAGTGTTTATCTGCTTCCAATGTATCCACGAATAATAAAACTTGTACTCTGAAAGTCCCTAAACGAGGTTAAAATAGTACTGAAACAATATGAATTGTGACATTTTCTCATCTATAGAATACAGTGTACTCTGAGAAGTATAAGCAACAGTGTATCATAAAAATGGATCTCAGTCACCTGTTCAACGACTTGAAACATGAAAAAAAGCTCACATAGGTAAGCATTTTTCAGTTGACTAAATGATATTCACTGAGTAAGCTACTAGATGGCGTACAGAAGAAATACTGGTCTGGGAAACTGATCAGTTCCAGTCATTTATTTTCACAACCAAGGATGAGTTTACCATCAGACTGTAAATAAACATTCTAGATTGTTACTCTACAAGATGTTGTGGCTCCTCATGCGGAATGCCATTGTAAAAGTCCACAGTAGCACAACAATTACACACATCAATATGTAAGTGATTCCAGTGTCTCGAAAAGACAAGCCAAGTCTACTAGTGGGAAAGTCTCTCAAGTTGTCAAATGCGTTAGCTTTGTTGGTAAGAGAGCATAGATGAATCCCATAACTCATATCAGATATTTCGAGGTATAGATTTCCTCAAGTAGGGAGAGCAGAACCTCATGAACTGCAATACTTTGATGATGCAGAAACAAAATGGTATTCGTATCTTCAATGTTCTCCATGCTTTAATGTTTCGTTGTAGATGTTTCATCACCCAGAAAAACTTCCTTATGAAGTTAACGCTGAGAGTGTCACTAATCCTGATGATGAGACCATCATTCTCATTCTGAACTATAAATCTTTCACACTTTTTCATAAAAGTATAAATACCTATTTCAAGTTGTTATTCATCGAAGACTGACATCAGTTGGAGGAACAAAGGAAACCTGGGAGCACTGGACAGCTGTTTCGTCCTAGTATGGGACTCCTCAGCAGTGCGCACCCACGACCCCACCAGCAGGGATCGAACCCGCGACCTTCAGGTTCCGCGACCAGCGCGTTACCATTGAGCCACTGGGTCAGAATCCAATGCTCCATATTTCCAACTTCTGTTAGCTCACGATATATATATAAATACCTATTGCTGTAGATTATCACTGAATTCATAAATATTTCATCCAATCATCTGGTAGACAGATAAACATTTCAGGCAATAAAGTTTAAAAATCAATTTTGGTAATAAAAATTGATCAATATATTAGTTAATTTAATTTTAAAAATGATTTAATTGACTTATACAACATAAATTAAAGAAAAAAATAATAAACATTACTTTGCACTTATTTTTCCTCATTATGTTAAGATAAATTTCCTTTTCTAATGTCTATACATTTTCATGCACTTTTATTTCAGTTTAATATCTGCAATTAAAATCAATAAACATCTGTTTAAAACAAGAAAAAATATATATACTATTCAATGTTCTATATTAAGGCTTTTCTTGTGGTTAAATCGTAAGGCATATTTAACTATGTTTGTGATCTTAACATAAACTCGGTTAGTACGACAGTTAAGTATTCGTAAAACTATTGATTTTTGAGTAATCTCTACTGTCTATTCATCTGTACCAGGGTGTAATGTGTTATTCATTAGAGTTTGGTATTCATCATGGACTGACAGCAGTTGGAGAAGCACTGAAAACCTGGACTTCTCAGCAGTGCTCACCCATGACTCTACCCCCACCAGGGATCGAACCCAGGACCTTCTAGTCCCATGGCTGGCACGTTATTCCTAAACCACTGGGTCATGGTTCAACGGTGTACAGTTTCCTACCTCTGTCAGTTCATAATATAGCATGACCTCCATCGAATGCCATGGTTAACCTCACCGGTCACGACTTCTCGTTGGAACTTGGGGAATCCCATCTCGAAGTAAGCCACTAGTAAGCATTAGAGTAATTCAATTTGGAGGTTTATCATTAAAATGTGGTGTGATAATGCAATGCATTTCGAGAAATCTGGTCATTTTCCCAGTATTTGAAAGATGAGGTCACAACCATGTGCGTTCATCAGTTTACATGCACGTGTGGTTGGTCACACATACACACACACACACACACACACACACACACACAAGGACCCATTGATCTATGAGAGTAGGCGCCTCAGAACACATTCCAAAATGGCTGCAATAATATATCAGAGTGAATGATCCTAACAACTCAGGC